TCATGTTGATATTATGTCCCAAAAAAAATTACATTATCCATATAATAAATGGGTTAGATGGGTTGAGTTTAGGTTATGGGGGTTTGATCAAATCAATTTCAAGCATAAACCAAGCCCATCTAATTTAGGAATTTATTTCATTAATTTTTAAGATTATTCTGAGAAAGATGTATAATGAATTGAGACATTTGAAACCTCCAAACTATACATTTTCGATTCAATAATCACAAATTTAAAATACAATGAATGTTTATATGAAAAAGGTCTATTCCTGAAGTGTCAAAGAGATTCATGGGAGGATAATAACTTTAAGCCCTAACATGATCCCCATTCAATTAGATTGATACCTAAGTAGTCCTAACCACCTTGAGAGTAACTGCAAACTTATAATTTTCCTCTGTCTATTTTCCAATATCTCAATCTCGATACAATCGGGAAGGAAAATTAGCACCATTCATAACGGGATTAAGTAAATCCTACATGTAGCCCCTTCCATTTGGGACTTCTTTAATTGCAAATGAACAATATTGTTAAAATGCCGTTCCAAAATAGGCAGAAATAACCCTCCAATATAAAACAAGAAAGCCTAGCATCAAGCTAAAATTACCATTTCATTAATTGCTTAAAAAACCATTCAAAAATCTAATGTAAGGAAAGAAAAAGGTGTTCATAAGAATATGGTAAAGGCCTTCTCCAAATAATATATATCAAGTAAGGCATCGTTCATCAGACAAATCAAGATAAACAGTACCATGCTATGCTGATCCGCCGCTGGAAGCTCGAGCAGGGCAATCCTGGATCTCCACAGATAAAAATTCTGCATTGTGGAGAGAATCCTTGTTTGGATCCAAAACAACGAAATTACAGAATTACTTGATGCACATAACCCTAACCTTGAAAGAGTCGAGCATGTGCCTGTAGATCCCTATAAACTAAATCTGGAGTATCTGCATAACACCATCGAAGGAAGCATCAGAGAGGCCGCCATCCCCTTTCGGGAGGAGGCCGGGGGGGGA